ATAGGAAAGTGATCACTATCATGTAAATCTGGAAGAACAGACCACATGAAATCAAGTGCAATGGGTGAGGAACAGATGGAAAGATCAATGCAGGAAAGAGACTGAGTGCAAGAGTCAAAATGGGTGGAAGCACCTGTATTTAAAATATAGAGAGGGTGAGAAGCGAGAAGTCTCTCCAACTGATCACCACAAAGTGGTGATCAGTTGGAGACTCTTCAAGTGACAGCTACTTCAATGACAGTCACGAAAAATATTTCTGCTGTTGTCTCGTCCTGTACAGATAGTTCCCGCATGCTTGATGAAACAGTCAGATCTATCAAGATTTAGATACTTTCAGCATAATACAATGTTTGTACAGATGTGAATGACATTTAGGTGTGCATGTAGAAAACCCCTTAATGTGCAGAACATTTTGGGCAAACTTAAGACTAACTTAAGATTAATAAGGCAATGACTAATTGAGTGCTTATATATATAAGTCTTGTACGTATGTGGTTGCAAAAATAAAATTAGGAGTTACAATGAATACAAGAAAATTGACCTATTGGTTAAGACAAAGAAAAAATATAAACAAATTACAATACAAACTTAATGAGTAATAAGTGGCAGAAGGACAAGACAAATGGGTGACAACTGAGCAGAAACTGTCTGAAAAGGGTTAAACTGTTCAGGATATTTTCAACAGTCACACATTTGACCTTTTTACAACAGTGACTTGATGTCTGTGGTTAAGAGGATGGGCTGGTTCAAGACAAGAAGGAAATTGGTGAGAAAATGACACCTGATTTCAATGAGAATCAAAGTACAACCCTCGCCAGAGTAAATGATGAGTTAAAATTACCAAATAAAAGGAATGGTGAACATAAAGCTGAAATCAGAGATTTTATGTTGGTTAAAGGCAGGGAGTGTGAAGGGCAAAGATACATAGTGTAGTGCACCACTTGTCTAACTAGACTCAGTCTGCAGTATAAAGTACGTATTAGTGTAAATGTATATTAGAGACAGAAATATTGTGCAGAAGTGTACTTTCATTGTGTCTCATTAGAAAAGGGAAGAGTGATTGACAAAGCATATAACCAGAGATAGAAATTCCAAATAATTGGTGTTTGTAAGCAAAATACACAGAGGAAAACTAGATTAACATTTGGAGCTCTCCCTGATTCCTCCTGTATCATCTTATATTCTTTTGTAATATACCATTATTAGTTGCCAGTAATACCGTGCAGTGGTATTAAGGAGCAGGTAGTGACTATGGGCCAGGGTGGTTGGTAATGTTGATGTGTGTCAGCAGTAGTAAATTATTACTAGGGGGAATCTGTGTGTACCACTAGACATACGTATGTGTGTGTGTGTGTGTGTACTCATCTAATTGTACTCACCTAATTGTGGCTGCAGGGGTCGAGACTCAGCTCCTGGCCCTGCCTCTTCACTGATTGCTACTAGGTCCTCTCTCTCTCTGCTTCCTGAGCTTTATCATACCTCTTCTTAAAACTATGTATGGTTCCTGCCTCCACTACTTCACTTGCTAGGCTATTCCACTTCCTGACTACTCTATGACTGAAGAAATACTTCCTAACGTCCCTGTGAATCGTCTGAGTCTTCAGCTTCCAGTTGTGACCCCTTGTTCCTGTGTCCCCTCTCTGGAACATCCTATCTCTGTCCACCTTATCTATTCCCCACAGTATCTTGTATGTCGTTATCATGTCTCCCCTGACCCTTCTGTCCTCCAGTGTCGTCAGTCCGATTTCCCTCAACCTTTCCTCGTACGACATTCCCTTGAGCTCTGGGACTAGCCTTGTTGCAAACCTTTGTACTTTCTCTAACCTCTTGACGTGCTTGACCAGGTGTGGGTTCCAGACTGGTGCTGCATACTCCAGTATGGGCCTAATATACACAGTGTACAGTGTCTTGAACGATTCCTTATTTAGGTATCGGAACGCTATTCTCAGGTTTGCCAGGCGCCCGTATGCTGCAGCAGTTATTTGGTTGATGTGTGCCTCCGGTGACGTGCTCGGTGTTATGGTCACCCCGAGGTCTTTCTCCCTGAATGAGGTCTGTAGTCTTTGTCCACCTAGCCTATACTCTGTCTGCGGTCTTCTTTGCCCCTCCCCAATCTTCATGACTTTGCATTTGGCAGGATTGAATTCGAGAAGCCAGTTTCTGGACCACATGTCCAGCCTGTCCAGGTCTCTTTGCAGTCCTGCCTCATCCTCATCCGATTTAATTCTTCTCATCAACTTCACATCATCTGCGAATAGGGACACTTCAGAATCTATTCCTTCCATCATGTCATTCGCATATATCAAAAATAGCACTGGCCCTAGAACTGACCCCTGTGGGACCCCGCTCGTCACAGGCGCCCACTGTGATACCTCTTCATGTGTGTGTGTGTGTGTGTGTGTGTGTGTGTGTGTGTGTGTGTGTGTGTGTGTGTGTGTGTGTGTGTGTGTGTGTGTGTGTGTGTGTATGTGTGTGTGTGCGTGCGTGCATGCGTGTGTGCGTGCGTGCATGCGTGTTGCGTGCGTGCGTGCGTGCTGCGTGTGTGCGTGCGTGCGTGTGTGTGTGTGTGTGTTTGTCTTGGGGGATGGGGGGTTATAAAGAGTGAGAATCTGGATGTAATTCATTGTTAAAGCTCGTGTAGTATGGTATATTTATGTTTTCAGGTTTGGATGATGCTCCTGTTGGTATTCCTAGTTTATGTTTCAGTTTGTCAAGGGTCATTTTGGACTCGGTCTCTTTGACAAATGCCGATCTGGCCTCAAAGGTTTATATAGTCAGGGTAGTGAAGGTGGTGTAGTGGAAGAGAAAACTGGAGCAGAAAATAGACACTGGCAACTGCCAGTACAGGAATAGGTTGTACGAGGTTACCTGGTAGTTGTCTCCTGATGTAGAGAAGGAAGTGTGGGTAGAGATAGAGTAGTATAAGTATGTGGGGGGGATGGGTTTCTGCAACTCACAGCTGTAGGAGCTAATGACTGAGGTACACTGTTGAAAAAAGTTAGGTATAAAGGGACAATTTATATAACATTGTATACTGTACAGTGGAACCTCGGTTTTCATATGCCCCAGTTTTCGTAGGATTCAGTTTTTGATGACTTTTTTCACTGAAATTTTGTCCCAGTTCTGTACATCCGCTCAGTTTTCATAGAGTTGAAAATGATCTGTACCAAATGTGTCAGCATGACTCAGCCACTCAAGCGCTCACAAAAAGCATCCAATGCACTTGTGATGCAGTCTGCTTTTGTTTCTCACTGAACGAGCATCACCCTGAGTGTTCATCCAAAACATTTCGTAATAATCCATTGTTTTTTGTGCTTGTTTATTTGGCCATGGGGCCAAAGAAAGTTCCGAGTGCCATGTTTGAGACATGTTTATGAGACAGACAAAAGACACCAGCAATCCTACCATCATGTAAAACAATTACAGGCTTTCGTTTTACACTCGCTTGGCAGGACAGTAGTACCTCCCTGGGCGGTTGCTGTCTACCAACCTACTACCACAGGACGGTAGTACCTCCCTGGGTGGTTGTCTACCAACCTACTACCACAGGACAGTAGTACCTCCCTGGGCAGTTGCTGTCTACCAACCTACTACATAGGAAAGTAAAACATGAAATACCAAAATAAAACAATAAAATAAAGTGTCATTACAAAAATGTTATGTTGATATTCAGTAGTAAAGTTCGACTTACGTCCATTTCGACTTACGACCGGTTTCTTGGAACCGAACTCGGTCGTAAGTCAGATGGTAGGTGTATATACAGGAGAAGGGGTTACTAGCCCCTTACTCCTGGCATTTTAGTTGCCTCATACAACACGCATGGCTTACAGAGGAAGAATTCTGCTCCACTTCCCCATGGAGATAAGAGGAAATAAACAAGAACAAGAACTAGAAAGAAAATAGGAGAAAACCCAGAGGGGTGTATATATATATATTATGCTTGTACATGTATGTGTAGTGTGACCTAAGTGTGAGTAGAAGTAGCAAGACATACCTGAAACCTTGCATGTTTATGAGACAGAAAAATGGACACCAGCAATCCTACCATCATGTAAAACAATTACAGGCTTACATTTTACACTCACTTGGCAGGACGATAGTACCTCCCTGGGCAGTTGCTGTTTACCAACCTGGAACGAAGTACAGTGGACCCTCGACCAACGATGGCATTGTCTAACGTTAAATTCGACTAACGATACATGTTAACGCTAACATGTTGCCTCCACTAACAATAAAAAAACTCGACTAACGATATTCGTTCTCGGGTACCAATTAATATCATTAGTCGAGGGTCCACTGTAATTGGATTTACATTATTTCTTATGGGAAATATTGCTTCAGTTTTCATATGATTCATCAGACTTTTTAGAATGGATTAATCACGAAAACTGAGGTTCCACTGTATATATACATATATGTATACATGTATATATAAAGTTCTCTTGCATCTGATTATGAATAAGGGTCATACAGCACTGCTCTCATGCATTTCCAACAAATTGGAAATCTTGTTTAAGAGATTAAAACTTACTATTATTTTGTTGACTTTTGTTACAGCTGATTTTGACAGTGTGGAAAATGTCTGAAGATGCACATGGGCAATGCCAGTTAATCTACCTGTTTCATCAGTCAGTCAAATGCAGTGTCAGTCAGTAGTTCGTGTGTCAGTCAGAGGTCCCTGTGTCAGTCAGCAATGAAGCTCTCTCTTCAGCACTGCAGAATCCAGACATTTCCTGCTTTAAAGAGCTTCATCTGTGTCAAAAATATATGGAAGAGAAAATACATATAGAAACAAAATTAGGGACATTCCTTATTTTTTCATATTTTTGTGTTGATACCAAATATAGCTCAGCAATAGATTGCTTAATATTTACACAGACTCCTTGTAAATTCATCAGTAATCATGTTGAATTGAAAATAAGTATGGTAATACTAACATTATATATCACACATAGCACTCAGCAAACAAGGATATAAAACGTTTTCTATCTTCCATACAGGAGGGTACACTGGAATGGCCATTCTGGACTAAGCTGATTGTGGTAGCAATTGGGTTCACTGGAGGTCTTGTATTCATGTATGTACAATGCAAAATGTATGTACAATTGTGTAAGAAATGGCGTGCCTTCAACAGAGTCATTTATGTTCAAAATGCTCCTGAAAAGGTTTGAATGTTAATAGACACTTCTTTTTCATTTTTGTTTGCATATTATAATTCTAACTCTTGCATACTAGAAAACATGTTTTTCTTGGAATACATGTATAGACATTATATTATAGCATTAACAAGTAATGATATACAGTAAGCATTTTTATAAAGCTCCTCTGTATATAATGATTTTTTTGTCAATGCAACTGAAAAATTTAATAGTGTGTACTATGATGGTCTTTATATGTGCTGTCAATGATGGATCCACTCTCTCAGTCCCATTTACAAAAATAATCATGCCATAAAATTCTTTGAAAGCCTTGACAGATACTGTGAAAGATTCCATCGGGTGTTTTTTACAGTGCTTTCTTTCAGGTTCCCTTAAGCGAGCGTGATCGGGCAGAGTTGCAGCGCGATGCTGTGCAGCAGTGTGGTGGTGGTGGGAAAGACAACTGCAGCGAGGCTCATGAATCTGAAAAGTCCCTCATGGGTGTGTCCATCATCACTGGGGCAGCGACCCATGATCTAACTCCCACCACCAATACCACCATTACTACCACCTCTTTTAATAATAACACATATGTCACAACCAGCACTCTCACTCCCACAACTACCTCCACCACAACCACCAGTCCTCCTGGTGCTGTGTGGACGGATGACCCATCACTGCCCCTTGCTCCCCAGCCTGCCTTTACTACAGACCTAACTACTGCTGCTCCACCGCCTGCCTTCAATACAGATCTTACTACTGCTCCTCCACCGCCTGCCTTCAATACAGATCTCACTACTACTGCTCCACCGCCTGCCTTCAATACAGGTCTCACCACTGCTCCTCCACTGCCTGCCTTCAATACAGATCTTACTACTGCTGCTCCACCGCCTGCCTTCAATACAGGTCTCACCACTGCTGCTATCACTTTTTAAGTTCTACTATGCTTGCTATTTTATTTTTTACATTACATTTTAAGGATATACAGTAAACTCTCTCATAAAGCTACTGGAAGTAGGATCCGCGGGGGACACGTTCCAAGGACCTGCTGCAGATACCAAAACCATGATTTGATTTGATTTGATTATTAAACAAAATTAAGGGTTATTTTCGGGCCATGGCTAACTGTGAATATGGGGGTCCTACTGTAGAACATTTTTTAATTTTTGCAAATGCAGTGGAGAAAATGTATCTAAACTTAAACAGCATTTACTATGAAGGGATTATTGAAGGTCACTTCACAACCTATTCAATTTTGGATTCACTTTTTCAATCAAATTAAAAAAAAATCACACTACATTGAGGAGCTTCACAAGAGAGCTGACTGTAATCTTTTTAATTCTGTAAAAATCCTTATTTATGTTTTTATTACGTCATTTTTGGAATATGACTCTATGCATACTATTTCATTTTTTGCTACTTTATCTTTTTGTATATTAAATCATCACTGGTAATGGCTTATAAAACCTATCAGCAAAATCTAAACATCACACATAAGGTTTAAGAGTTTTTCCTGTGCAGTGATAAAAAGTGTTCTAAATTACTATAAATTAAATATGAAAAGTATTGAATATACAATGACTAATTGCATCTCCTTGGTATTTGTAATTTAATAAGTAATGTAATACAGTAAAACCTCTAATGGACATAGATTTGGATTAATGGATGAAATCTGTGGCCAGAAAGAACAGACAAAGTCTGTTACATCCAGAATAGGCTGTTATTGTTACGATCACGGGTTTGGGCAAATATTTTTCTTAGTGGTACTAGATCTGAGAATGACCTGTCTAATATGGGCCAGTAGGCCTGCTGCAGTGTTCCTCCTTTTTTATGTTCTAACACTTTTCATCAATCAAATTTAATGACAATCAAATCTAATGGATACATGAAATGCTGTGGATCCTATGGGCTTTTTGATTAGGTAAGGTTCATCAGGAAACAGGACAGGTGTTTCCTGATGCTGGTCATCATATGACGACCCACCACTGGAGCTTTTGGTCATCTGACCAAGCCCTTCCTCTAGCTTACAAGTCCACCCATTAAAAAAAATGTAGTCACAGTTATAATAATTTTTTTTATTACTGTATATTTTGTAAAGCAGTACAATGGACCCTTGAGTTTTGTAAGGCTCGCGCTTCGTAAATATCGACTTTCGACAACTTTTTTCATCAAAAATATAGCCTCGCATTCGAATTTGGCTCGCCATTCGTTGCTCATCCGGAACACGTATGAGTGGCCTCCCAGCGTCCGCGCCACAGAAAGGCACCCCACACACCATTCCTAGTCATTGTGGCATTGTTTATTGGCAGGTGACCACCCCACATGTTTATATGATACATTTCGTAATAATCCATTCTTTTTTTGCGCTTGCAACTGCTAAATAAGCCACCATGGGCCAAAAGAAAGCTCCTAGTGCCAGCCCTTTGGTAAAGAAGGCAAGAAACACGATAGAATTCAAGAAGACACCAGCCAGGGTACTTTTCCACACACACAATTTGATTCGAGTAGAACTTGCACATGAGTGAATAGAATTGTCAAAGCTTATTGCTTGGGGAGAATTGAAAATTGAGTTGGGCAAATATTCTGTTAGTGGGATGGTTTGTAAGGACCTGCCTAGTATGGGCCAACAGTGGAAATATAAACACATAAGCAGTACAATCTGATCCTTTATTGACAACGCTTCCCCCACACAGTGGGCTTTATAAAGTCACAAACAGATCTACCTGGGTGGAAGGTACGTGAGTATTTATAGGATGAAGTCAGGTTGACAATGATGGGTCAGGTGGAGAATGCTGCATGACCCTACTCAGTAGATTGTCATGTGCAGCATTCTCCACCTGACCCAGAATTCTCAACCTGATTTCATCATGTAAATACTCAGTACCTTCCACCCAGGTAGCTCTGTTTGTGACTTGATAAAGCCCACTGTGTCGGTGAAACGTTGTCAATAAAGGATCACATTGTACTGCTTGAGTGTTTATATTTACACTGTGTCGGTTTTTTATACCATTTATTTCCATGGGCCAATAGGTCTGATGCAGTGTTCCTGCTTTCTTATGTTCTTATGTACACCAGCCAGGGTACTTTCCCACACACACGATTTGATTTGAGTGGGACTTACACATTAGTGAATTGAATTATCAAAGCTTATTGCTTGGGGAGCATTGAAAATTGGGTTGGGCAAATATTCTATTAGTGGGATGGTTTGTGAAGGACCTGCCTAATATGGACCAACAGGCCTGCTGCAGTGTGCTTTCTTATGTTCTTATGTACACCAGCTGAGGAAATTGCTTCACAGAAGGAGGAAGAGAGAGGGAAGAAAATGCCTTCTTCAAAGATTAAGGACATTTGTGCAAAGTGGAGGGAGGTGCAAACACCTGTGGAGGAACATCACCCTAACCCTCTCCCCTCCTCCCGTCTTCCATACACAACAAGAGTCTTCGATAAAGGTAAGTGTGATGTTATTATTGTTTTATACTTGAGTTCTAAGGAAGCCTAGAGAACAAATGGATTTGTCAGTTAAAAATAGGAGAGGAGAGTTATTAAATGGAGAGTTAGAGGCATTGGGAAGATGGAGGGAATATTTTGAGGAATTGTTAAATGTTGATGAAGATAGGGAAGCTGTGATTTCGTGTATAGGGCAAAGGAGGAATAACATCTTGTAGGAGTGAGGAAGAGCCAGTTGTGAGTGTGGGGGAAGTTCGTGAGGCAGTAGGTAAAATGAAAGGGGGTAAGGCAGCCGGGATTGATGGGATAAAGATAGAAATGTTAAAAGCAGGTGGGGATATAGTTTTGGAGTGGTTGGTGCAATTATTTAATAAATGCATGAAGAGGGTAAGGTACCTACGGATTGGCAGAGAGCATGCATAGTTCCTTTGTATAAAGGCAAAGGGGACAAAAGAGAATGCAAAAATTATAGGGGGATAAGTCTGTTGAGTATACCTGGTAAAGTGTATGGTAGAGTTATTATTGAAAGAATTAAGAGTAAGATGGAGAATAGGATAGCAGATGAACAAGGAGGCTTTAGGAAAGGTAGGGGGTGTGTGGACCAGGTGTTTACAGTGAAACATATAAGTGAACAGTATTTAGATAAGGCTAAAGAGGTCTTTGTGGCATTTATGGATTTGGAAAAGGCGTATGACAGGTGGATAGGGGGGCAATGTGGCAGACGTTGCAGGTGTATGGTGTAGGAGGTAGGTTACTGAAAGCAGTGAAGAGTTTTTACGAGGATAGTGAAGCTCAAGTTAGAGTATGTAGGAAAGAGGGTTGTTTAATATATTTATAGATGGGGTTGTAATGCGAGGGTCTTGGCAAGAGGCTTGGGGTTAAAAGATAAAGAATCACACATAAAGTGGGAGTTGTCACAGTTGCTCTTTGCTGATGACACTGTGCTCTTGGGAGATTCTGAAGAGAAGTTGCAGAGATTGGTGGATGAATTTGGTAGGGTGTGCAAAAGAAGAAAATTAAAAGTGAATACAGGAAAGAGTAAGGTTATGAGGATAACAAAAAGATTAGGTGATGAAAGATTGGATATCAGATTGGAGGGAGAGAGTATGGAGGAGGTGAATGTATTCAGATATTTGGGAGTGGACGTGTCAGCGGATGGGTCTATGAAAGATGAGGTGAATCATAGAATTGATGAGGGGAAAAGGGTGAGCGGTGCACTTAGGAGTCTGTGGAGACAAAGAACTTTGCCCTTGGAGGCAAAGAGGGGAATGTATGAGAGTATAGTTTTACCAACGCTCTTATATGGGTGTGAAGCATGGGTGATGAATGTTGCAGTGAGGAGAAGGCTGGAGGCAGTGGAGATGTCATGTCTGAGGGCAATGTGTGGTGTGAATATAATGCAGAGAATTCGTAGTTTGGAAGTTAGGAGGAGGTGCGGGATTACCAAAACTGTTGTCCAGAGGGCTGAGGAAGGGTTGTTGAGGTGGTTCAGACATGTAGAGAGAATGGAGTGAAACAGAGTGACTTCAAGAGTGTATCAGTCTGTAGTGGAAGGAAGGCGGGGTAGGGGTCGGCCTAGGAAAGGTTGGAGGGAGGGGGTAAAGGAGGTTTTGTGTGCGAGGGGCTTGGACTTCCAGCAGGCATGTGTGAGCGTGTTTGATAGGAGTGAATGGAGACAAATGGTTTTTAATACTTGACGTGCTGTTGGAGTGTGAGCAAAGTAACATTTATGAAGGGGTTCAGGGAAACCGGCAGGCCGGACTTGAGTCCTGGAGATGGGAAGTACAGTGCCTGCACTCTGTAGTGTAAAGCACCCTTCTGGCAAGACAGTGATGGAGTGAATGATGGTGAAAGTTTTTCTTTTTCGGGCCACCCTGCCTTGGTGGGAATCGGCCAGTGTGATAATAAAAAAAATATTCTCATTCTTTTCTGTATGTAAATCTATATTTAATGTAAGGTATAAGGACACAAGTGTAACTAATGTGACATTTTATTGTGGCAACGTTTTGCTCTCCAGGAGCTTTATCAAGCCGTTACAAACAATACATGGATACAGAGGGTATATATAGGCTCAGAGTAAGGTGTAATACTAGTAGTATTAGTAGAAGTAGTAGTAATATAAGTTGTAATAGTAGTAATAACACAATATGGCAGAACAATCAACTTGTACATGAGTAAAAGGTTATAAAAGTTATTACTTGGGTAACATAAAAATAGGTTAGAGAAATATTTCTATTGGTGGTTGGATGTGAGAAGGTCTGTTTCAGTATTCCTTCTCTGTTGTGTTCTTGTGTAGCAGAGACTATGTGATGGCAGGGTTTACTGTTTTGAGGAGGATTTTTGCTAAAACTTTAGAGATGATGAAGTTGCCTATGTTTTGCTTGTGTTAGAAACAGCAATTAATGATGATTCAAGGCACTGACGTCTGCAGAAATTTGGTTCTTTGATTACTAGTCGGG